CTAAATCCTTTGACCCGTAGTGTATATAAACCAAATGAACCAATGAAGAAGTATACAGTTATTGAGACCCCTGAGAATGTGTTACACCATAAAAACAAAGGCATCAATACGTCTTTGAGAAATTAAGAAACATTAAGAAATTTCATTGTGTTTTTATCTGCTCGAGCAGAGCTGAGCCGATCATTAAATCCCATACACAATTTCACCATCCTGAATTTCTGTATTTTTATGTTTACATGAACTTATAAATTAATCTGTACTGGAGGTGTGATTGATTTCCAAAATGTTTGAGCCAAATTTCATGAAAATCTATCCAGTGTTTGTTGACTTTCAGTGTGAGCAGACGTGTTGGACACAGGTAAGTCTGGCCTTGCTTTTACAATAGACTAAAAAATATGACAATCATCATTACTTTTGTTTATAAGTTCTTGTATCAGTTCATTTATTTCTTTGTCATGTTTTTCCTCGAGGTCCTCCTTTTCCTCTGGATCGTCCACATACTTCATTTCATGTTCATGCTTTTTCAGTAGCTTGCGGACTTTTTTTGTGTTTGCCCTCTTTTTGGTGAAACATCTCACTACGTTATTCATCTCTTCTTTGTGTTTTTTCATTTGTTCTTCTTTCTCAGTTTTTAGTGCTTTTAAGATGTCATATTGCTCATCTTCGGCTGTCCAGTCCTTACCCTCTAACTCTTTCATGCATTTCTCCCTGAATTCGTTGTATTCCTCTGCTTGTTTTCTGGCTTTTTCTTCAAATGTTTCCTTCATTTCCATCAGTTTTTTCTCATAGTTTTCCTCCAGTTCCCTTTTCTCTTTTTCCCCCTTTTCTGTTAACATCAAATCCTTTTCTTTTACTTCTTTCTCAAGAACTTCTTTTTCCTGCTCATATTCTTTCAGTTTGTTCATCATTTTCTGCTCCTCCTGTTGCCTCACTTCATTTTCCTGCTTTCTTTTCTGCCACCACTCTTTTTGTTCATTCTCCCATGCCTGCTGTTTCTCTTTCATTTCTGCTTTGCTCTGCTCCAGTTGTCTGTCGATGATTTGTTTTGATTCCAGTTCTTCTTTCATTTTTACTTCTAAGTCTAAAAACCTTTGTTCCCAATTCCTACGCTGTGATTCTTCCTCTTCTTTCTTCTTTCTGTCTTCTTCATCTCTTGATTCTTGTTCTGTCTTTCTTGAGGTAAGCTGTTTCTTCACATTTTTAAGCTCTTCGTCTCTTTGTTTTCTTTCTTGTTCAATTTCTGTTTTCTGTTCTTCCATTTTTTTCTTCATTTCTTGCATTTCCTCCTCATGTTTTCTTTTAAGGTCTTCCATCTCTCTGTTTATTTCTTCCTCCTTCTCTTTCAGAATCGTTTCTGTTTTTTTCTTGATCGCAGCTTCAGCTTCTTGCAGCATATTATTGGTGAAGCAACTTCCACCATTTCTTTTGACCATGTCATCGATCTTTGTTATCAGCTCAGTGACTTGTTTGCGGTTTTGTTCATCTAAGTTATTAAACACATGGTATCTCTGCCCACAATCATCAATCAGCTTCTTAAAGGAATCATCAGATTTTGCAATGTAATCATGAATGGACTGCTTCTCATGTTTCAGTGAATCTCCTCTAGTGAAAAGAATGATGGTGAATTTTTCTGAATTCTTCCCAAAGCCTTCCTTGATAAGTTTTAATGCTTCCTTCTCTTCTGGTGTGATTCTCTCAGTCTTTAAAACCAGCAGGAAGACGTGTGGTCCTGGAGCCAGAAGGCTGACACATTTCAGCATCTCCTCATTGATCTCTTCATGTGACAAACTGTTATCAAACAGTCCAGGAGTGTCGACCACAACAACAGGACGACCGTCCACTTCACCGTATGCTTTCTGACACTGTTTGGTGACAGATCTGGGGTTATTCTCAGCTTTGAACTCTCTTTGTCCTAGAATGGTGTTTCCAGAAGAGCTCTTTCCATTGCCAGTCTTACCTAGCAAGACAATTCGGAGAGGCTCTGAGCTCTGCTTCTCTTCATTACCTGTGAAATAACAACACATTAGTTAAATGGCAGGACAGTCCAATAGATAACATGGTGCTGAAAGCACAATATATTTTAGATGTCATTACTTTTTGTCTTTGTGTCTAAAGTTGAATTTAATAATCAGTCCAAGGGCTTAATGGGAGCTCCACGCTGCTTTTATCTCATTTTTATTCAATTCCACCAGCAGCACCAGAAAAATAAAGAAGGAACACAGGAAAATACAAAGAAGGAGGAATCCACAAGCAGTTTACACAATCCACACTTAAGGTTGCTCTTAATGTAATTATTAAAAGAACAAACAACAAATAAAATCAAACATTAAACAAGATTATTGAGTAATGGCTAGAAAGATGTAGAAGGATCTCAGGGGACACGAGGAATGTAAAAGAAAACAAAAGCTGTTATTTTATGACCTAAGTCTGCTACAGATAAACTTTGTGTCTGTCCATGTCAAAGAAAATCTTATGATCTTATAATTGAATTCTGTTACATTTAGTCCCCATTTTTCAGTTACACTTTCAAATTCATCTAAATCAAAATCTTGCTTTCACTGTTTTTGCACTTTTGTCTCCCAGTCAGTCAGCACCTAGTACACTATCTTTATATTCATTTCAAGCTTTTACTGAATTTTTCAGGCCATGCATCTTTCCACCTTTTAATCTCCACTTCAAACAGGTTGCCAATCCAAAGACTTTATTTTCATGGTCCAGCACGCTGTTTGCTGTTTTGGGTTCTCCTTTCTGTCTAAGCTGAGCTAAGCAGGTTAAAATCTGCCAGGAGGCGGCCGCATCTGTTCCTGATTGTCTTCATCTTCTGCCAGTACTTAACAACCAACTCCAATGATCACTCCATGCCAATCTGGCTCTCTAGACTGGTAATCTGGCATCTCCTTGTTTCTCCTGTGTTTTTCCCCCCAGGACTCTCTGTCTGACCAAAGAGCGGCTTCATTTCCAGTGCTACTTATTAATCCCACTTGAGTTATTAAGTTAGAGATGGGCAGATGGAGCCTTGTGAAGGTTTTGAGGCTATTTCCTGATTGTTGCTCTGAAAAAGTTCAGAGCCTTAAAGTCAGACCTTACCAGTGGAATCGAACGGTCATCTGCAGCTATAGCAGCAACAAACTTCCAAATGATTCACACAACTGGTTGATTTCAGTTCCAACACAAAATGAAAAAATCAGTCTTAAGCAGTTGTGTCTTCATTCTAAGAATAATTCCCCACACATGAAAGTGTTCATGTTTACCCTATGACACAACTCACCAGGGGGAAACAGACCAGTGGCTCCCTTTCAAGTACCTCTTCTGAACCAGCTCTCTGGATCAATTCAGTGGATCTCTTTTCTGTGGACTCCTCAAAGCTAGCCCGCCTGTCCTCTCTCTCAGTGACCATGGCCCCAGGAATTCACATGGCTAAGTTCACCTCCAGTTACTGAGTGGCTTCATTTAATAAACCTTGTGAACTTTAAATGTGTCTGTTTTGAGTCCTACTGAAGAGTCCAGTTAGGTTTATTGACATTTTGGAAACAACATCATCAGCAATCTGATAATTTCCCACTGGTATCTTTTTTCTAGCTCTCTTTTCTTGTTTTGTCCCCTTCTCTGTCTTCCCTTTGTTTCTCTGTATTCAAGTCATAAATGGGTTAATTAACAGACACTGTTAGATTTGGGTACTTACACTGCTTCAGAGACACTGCCTTCATTTATTTTGCTACCGATGGAGCTATAGTGCAGGTTGCAGAGACATGCCCCAGATAATGCCCCTTCTTTTGCTGCCCTGTGAGATCAGTTGCTGTTGAGACTACAGGAGAGCCCCATAGCTCTGGCCTTGAAGGTATTCAAGAACCCAAGAAGATTTTGCTGCCATATACCAGGAGAAGCTGCTGCTGGATTCAGAGCATGGACATGCCCAATCTGAGGTAAATTGACATATGTGTAATAATGTATGTGGTCCCATTAAATCTGAGCAGGAAGCAAACTGGAGAGAGGTGCTAGACTGGAGATATTAGAGGATGTTTAGTCACGGATAAAAGGATTTGGGTGGCCAGGGCCCTGAGAGTGTTAAAGAATGGTAGAGTCCCAGTGCGAGCCTATAACCTACACTCCTATAATCCATAGGTCTACCAGAAGCTGGGTAAGCTATACTGTGTGAATGAGTCAAATGTGCATGGCCCTGGTGACCTGAGTCTTTCCCTTGAAGCAGGCAGAGTCATGGACAATGTCGCCACCTCAGAAAACAAGGAATCGTCAGCAGAGATGTGCAAAATGACTAAAAGACTTGAT